AACGTGGGTGAATCCACAGAGCAGGGAAACATCCAGCAGGGTCCTTGGGGTGAAAAAGGCAGAGGGAAAAGGGAATTCAGCCTCCCCGTGTGATTGGATTTGTTCCCAAAGCACATCGTGGGGTGCTGCTCCTCTTGCAATGAGGTTAAACACAGAATTCAGCATCCTGGAGCATCCCTCCTCCAAAAAACTGCAGCAAAATCACACCAATACAAACACAAACAAGGAAAGGCCATTTTCTCCTTGGCTGTCCAACACTGCCCAGTATTGACACAAGAAACTTTGGAAAATTTCAGTGCAGGAATGTCAGACCCAAAGCCAGCAAAATGAAAACAAATCAAAAATATATTCTATACTTCTGTTCTACACTGAGTATGTCTCACTTGATTTTCTGAATTGAAAGCTGCCATTCATGCCCAGGATGATAGTTTCASACTCAGGGTACACTGTCACACTAAAATTGCCTTTATAATAAGTGTTAGGTCTAAGTAACCAATAAGCATTTTAAAAAAACCCCAAACTTTAGTTTATTTCGACTACTAAGATCAGAAAAAATTTATCTAAAATTAAAGATGCCTTTGATGCACCTCACTCTATCCATTCTCCACCCTTTTCTGAACACAAACGCCCCTGGAACATTTGAGCAAGAGAATAAAAACAAAGAGGGTAAAATATGAAAAATCTCTCTTGAGTWTGTGCTATCACCTCCTACCCTCCCTAAAGCAACAACTGCACCCCCTGGGAACCCCTGCTCCACCACAGTGTCACTTTTGACCTTAAAAAAAACTGCTTATTCCTTGATTCAGGAAGCATTTTACAGCCCAATTCCTGATGGAAAGAAGGGAATTCAGGTACTGAAAAGCACATTTGGTGAAAGCAGAACCAAGACCCTTTACAGCTCAGGATTGCAGCCTGGAGTCTTTGAGACATCTCTGAAAAGGCTGCACGGTACTACCAAGCAAATAATGGAAGTTTTGCACTCAGCAGGACATTTGTGGCAGGAGCATGGATTTTTATTTTTTTATTTTTTATTGCTGCTCCCGAGACCAGAGCACTTGGAAGAGAAACAAGGCATGAAGATTCTCTATAACTGCAGATGCCTTCAAACAATTTGCCCCCAATTTCATTTCAATGGCAATATTATAAATGCACAGATGAAGAAAGAAAAAAAAAGAAGTTTTACTTACCCACTTTCCCCCAATTAGTGCGTTTTGTGAGTTTTCTTTATATGTAGTGTAGGATTTCTCTTCTTTCCTTCTTAAATACTGATRTATTTATTTTCCAAAGGGCCTGTTGCAGAAAAAAGGTCTCAAGGCACATTATAATTGTACAGAAAGGGATTRAAATTAAGAATTAATTCAACCATCTCAGTACATAATGCTTTAATGAGTTTACCTTCAGAATTAATGCCATTGGAATCCTGAACACACAGAAAGTGTGGCACAAACACAGAGAGCACCTGGGTGCCAGGTAAAGAACATTTCTGCTCTTTAACCCAGAATTAAACTGCCAATCCCTTTGCCCACATTAGATGGCCTCTGTGGAAATGAAGGGATGGTCATTTTTACCAAAATGCTATTTTTTCTACAAGCATTTGCTTCAAACAATGGTGCAAAAATAATAAATCTGTCACCTAGATCTTATTCACCACAAAATCAGAAGCCTCTGATCATTCATTTATAGCAGCAGGAAAGTGCACACCCTGCCCCACATCTACAGATGTTATTCTGTCRTTTAGATTTATTTAATGGTAAGAAAAATATGTAACTTACATAGGTTAATATTTGCTTTTATAGCTTACTGTCTCATGTCAATTAATTAAAATTTTAAAAACATTTATTTATGTATTTATAACTGGATGCAATGACAGTAAGAAGCAGTAAGGAACCAGTAAAAAATAGAGGAAGCCAGTGACACAGTCTAAACACCACAGATAGACTTAATAATTAGATATTTAATCTGAGGATTATCTATAAAGTKTAAAGATTATGCTAAAAATTAATTGATATTGAGAATTACTTTTATGAGTTCAGGATGACCAGAAGTTTTTCAGTGCTGTGCAAGAAAGACTTTTCAGGAATTAGTCACCAATGGAACAGACCTTTTTGCTGGTTTTCCACAGTGCATTTATCCATCCCACATTTATGCAAATATGAAGTGCTTTATGTTGTTGGGCAGCCCAGCACGGAATTTTCAAATCCCAAGAAATCAATCCCAAATGAATCTCAACACCTGAAAATGAACTCGACAGGAATGTTSCATGCCAGGAGTTACACTGCAAGATCCTTTGTTCCAGGTTATGGCCTGATCCCAAACTCCACACCACTACCATGCAAAACCATTTTCCCATTCCAAAGATATTTGAAAAGTTTTACTGACTGAAAACACACTCAAATCACAATTTTTATGACCACAAGAATGCCTGTCAGCATCCCCAAACACTGTTTTGCCATGAATTAGATGCAATCATGACAGCAGTGGGGCTTTTCCTCCCCTGGATCTCCCAAATTTTTTCTGCTTCACATGAACACCACAGAATCGGATTCTACACATCAAAACAAAATTAAGCAGAAGAATTTTCCTTCAAATACAAAGAAATAACATTTTCAATCAAATGGAATCAGTCTCTTGTGGAAYCATTCCAGAAACCTTCACCACAAACATTTCCTTTGGTGTAAGGYTCAGCACCAGGCTGATGTTTTCAAGGAATCAATGGAACACCAGAAATGTAATAAAGGGAAAAAAAAAAAAATTATGGATCTCTGAAGTCAGGCATTAAATCCAACACTTCAGCTGGCAAAACTCTCTCCTTATGAGTCTGGCCTTGGCACTTCAGATTACTATAAAAATACTTAGGAAAATCTTTAAATGAATGCCAGCACACAGTTCAGTATCAGACCGTATTTGAAATCAGATATGGTGCTGCTGTGATTCCATGAATTCTAATGGAACTCCTCCAAATTTTTTTCACCACTGCAAGCGAACCTGAAATGTCTCATTTTGCATTATTTTTAGCTGAAATGTGTGTCAATGTGAAATCATCTGAACTACATTAGTAGAACTAAAGTGATCCCCAGTGTAAATCCATTCACATCAGCTGCATCAGGAATGCATTTTGCCACTGTAATTTAAAATGCAAAATGCACAAGTCACAATAAAATTCTTTTTCTGAAAGCTGTTGGTATCCCTGGAAAAGGTCTGACAGAAGCAGTAGCAGTAATTTGGAGCTATAACAGCTCAAGTAGAGGGTATTTCTGGCACACAATTTCAACCAAAGCAATACTTTATATAAATTTCTGCTTCTTGTAAAGCACTTGGGATCTTTGGGATCTTTAGCATGTAAGTGGTAGAACTCTGGCATTTTAAAACTACCTTGTGACTGGACCAACAGATGGTTGAATAATCAAATTATAAGCCCAAGCAGAGTTATTTGTTTCCATTCAGGAATGCACAACTCTTCTTGCGATTTGGAATGCACAGCCTAACACCTAGCCATGAATTTGTTATTTATGGTGACAAAGTACAGAGGTTCACTGGCTGCAGGAGGCTCCTCTGTACTACTTCTTTTCCCTAAATTCTTTATTTACCTATTTATCTAGCTATTTGTCTCACTCCCACCTCCTTGCCACGGCCCCAGGCACTGCATGGTCTCTGGTTTCACACAGAACTACCACCAGGACAGTTTGGAAAGAGAAAATTCATGCGCTTTGGCCCATTAAATGCCATCTGCGAAAGAAATACTTCCAGTTACGGATTTTTACTGGATTTTATAGAATGCCCCTGTAGGAAAAAGTATTTAGCACGTTTAACTCAGGTAAGCCACRGTGAAATGTAATATCAAATTTTGGCAAACGCCTCTGCATGAAATTACTGAGTGGCTTCATTCAAAACACGGCTGGAATTAACATCACCACCATAAAAAGGAGCTTTGTTTCATGCTTCACATCAAAAATATAATGAAGAAGCCTGCTCTAGGTTTTTAAATTAGGAATCAGACACTTGAACACACATTTTGAAGCAGGGCTCAGCACAATGCAGACCTTTGGGTGTGCCTTGTGTTTTATTTTTCTACGACGCAAAAGAAGACAAAGCAGAGAAACTTTTCCAAGAGACTCACAAAAAAACCACGAAGATAAAACCCAGCCATTGGAGAGAAGCCTGCAGCTCTGTTTGGTACAGCAAACAAGGCTCACCTGATGGATCATGTGTGATGCCCAATTCAGATTGTTTTCATTGCTGCTAAAAATCCATCACTAACAAGTTCTCCCCCTTGCAAAAACTCCCCCACTCAGCTTTAAAAGAATATTGCAAACTACTGTAATTCAGTAGGGTTGGTAAATCCTTTTCTCTCCCATAACAGCCTGTCCCAGACCTTAAAGTGCATATGCCAGCTTGGTTCAAGTTTTAAAATCTGGAATGTTCCACAGTGCCTTTTCAAAACCATCTACAGTTAGTTGTGCCTTCCCTTGGTCATGGTAAGCCTGGAAAAAGCCTTGTTCTGAATCCATTATTCATGTTTTATGGAGAATATCTCACCTATCTCACTCTGGGCTCTGGGATAAACCACAGGCCAGGAAATCTTTACCCACCTGAAATCTCCCAGGAAGGGCAATGGAAAGTTCTGACCCAAAATAAAACATATCTGGCCTAAGAATCAGCGAGAAGACACCACARAATGCTTTCACAAGGACTCCATGGCACCCAGCAGGTTCCTTTGGAAGCCCAGAATGCCTGTTCTGGTTCTTAAATGTTGCTTSAGATACACAGGGGTGAAAGCTGTAATCAAGGGGAAATGCAGCACCAGTAATAGCACATTATTAAAAGTCAGCAATCCTCAATTGTCAGCGCTGTAACCACAGAGTATCTGATTACTTCTACCTTCTCCTCCCATACACTGAATTTCCTCAATACTGACAAAGTGCACGTACTAATCACGGACTCTGAACGCTAAATTAAGCAGAACAACAACAAAAAAAAAAGATATAAATTAGGTTGGTACTTCTTGGGGGCATCAGTAGAAAACACCGATTTCAAATCATTTTTGATTAGAAAATTTTACTTCACAATCCTTTTCCAGATCACAGATAATTCATAATTAAAAAGAGTATGGAATTAATGTAATGTTAGCTGTTTTGCCATCAGCATCACAAAGAAAGAAGAAACAATAAAATATGATGCAGAATTCACTCTTCCAATGATTGTCATTGAACTATTACATTAGTAAACATTCACAGTATGAAGTCTCTTTCAATATATCTCCAGCATATAAAGTAGTGCAAAAAAGCATTCCAGTCATTTTGCCTTTGCAGTCAGACCAGGTTAAAYGATTCTCTTACTTCATTTCTTTCATTATTAGACAACAAATGCTGCAATGCCTCCAAAGAGAGTTATAAAAATAAACAATTTCTGGAGGGTCAACAGCCTTTTCAAAGGAAATTTCCAGTTAAAAACAAGCATTATAGATTTCAAGAAAAAAAAAAATTTAGATCTATCTTCTGTAGAATATCTTTTTTACAATAAATTTACCATTTGAAAAACAATGACTATGGTTTCCAATGATTCATGGTAGCTGCTATTAAAGCACTGATAAATAGATAAATGACTACCAAACTTCATTGTTTCTTACATAGTAAATACCTCTGAATGCCAACTTTTACCACAGAGCTGTTATTAGTGATGTCGACAGTTCATGCACCCACTTCAAAACTGACTTGGTTTTAATAAATTTTCCAGCCTCATGTGCAAAACACTCGCATTCTAATAAAAATATAAAGTCTGAAAATGTATCAGATCTAGCAAATTCCTTTCTTCAAGTTGTACCCCTTACTTGATATGTCATACGTGTTCAGCAATGCTTTTTATTTGTATTTAACCATTAAATGGCATACTACTGTATGCTGCAGACTCTTGTTTGCATATTTCATTATTTTCACTGCACTCTTTAATGCATAAATATATTTGGAAACGTTCAAAATTATACATCAGTTTCCACAGAATTTGAATTTACGCAGTTTTTCTTCTCTGACTCACTGCTATTCCCCGTGTCCTGACTTTTATTCTCCTTTACACAAAGAGACTCCTTAACTCCTTCTTCCATCTCCAAATACTCTGATTTATCCTCTGTGGACGAAGACGACGCACTCCTAAATTTCTTCAGCAAATTTGTTGGGAGGTAAGGGCAACTGACCGCGTTTTGCATCATCTGCGTGTGCTCCTCGTTCTCAGTTTCTCTGTGGTAGAAATAGTTAAAATTGGAGACAATCACTGGCACTGGTAAAGCAATGGTTAACACTCCTGCAATGGCACACAGCGACCCCACAATTTTCCCACCCACGGTTATGGGTTTCATGTCCCCATAACCGACCGTAGTCATGGTCACTACAGCCCACCAGAAGGCATCCGGGATGCTTTGGAAATGGGTGGCGGGCTCGTCGGCTTCTGCGAAGTAAACRGCGCTGGAAAACAAAATGACCCCGATGAAAAGAAAAAAGATGAGGAGGCCAAGTTCCCTCATGCTGGCCCTGAGCGTGTGACCCAGGATCTGCAGCCCCTTGGAGTGCCKGGACAGCTTGAAGATGCGGAACACCCTGACGAGGCGGATGATCCTCAGGATGGCGAAGGACATGGCCTGCTGGCTGCCCTGCTCCTGCGCCAGGTCCGTGCCCAGGGTGATGAAATAAGGCAAGATGGACACGATGTCGATGATGTTCATGACGTTCTTGAAGAAGTGCGCTTTGCTGGGGCAGGCGAAGCAGCGCACCGTGAACTCGAAGGAGAACCAGATGATGCACACGGTCTCTACGATGAAGAAAGGGTCGTTGAAGATGGTGTGCTCCCCGGCGTTCAGGTGCAGCGACTCGTTGGAAAGACCCTTCCCCAAGCTCAGGGACATGACGAATTCTTTGTCATCTCGGAACTCTGGCAAAGTCTCCAGGCAAAAGATGACGATGGAGATCAAGATGACCAAGACAGAGACGATGGCGATGCCCCTGGCTGGACTGGAACTTTCCGGGTACTCGAACAGCAGCCAAACCTGCCTCTTAAACTCGTTCTCYGGCAACACCTTTTCCTCTTCCTCTTTGACAAAACCTTCATCCTCCCTGAACTTGAGCATGGCCTCCTCCCCRAGCTGGTAGAACTTCACCTCCTCGGAGAAGATGTCGAAGGGMACATTGACCGGCCTCTTGAGCCGGCCGCCGCTCTGGTAGTAGTACAGGATGGCATCGAAGCTGGGTCGGTTCCTATCGAAGAAGTACTCATTCCTGAGAGGATCAAAGTACCTTCCCCGCTTGGCTGGGTCCCCCAGCAGCGTCTCGGGGAACTGAGCAAGCGTCTTGAGCTGGGTCTCGAAGCGCAGCCCCGACACGTTGATCACCACGCGCTCGCAGCACTCGTATTCGCTGTAGCGCACCGAGCTGTAGCCCCCGGGGCCCACGCCRTCATCGGGGGGCTGGTCCGAGTAGGAAATCTCATCCTCCCCGTAGTCATCACTGTAATAGAGCTTCCCTTCTTCCTCGTCGTCCTCATCCTCRTCTTCATCCTCCTCTTCCTCCTCGCTCAAGTCCTTCAGTATCCTCTCCTCGGAGCCGCTGAGCGGCAGCAGCTCGGAGCAGGGGAAGGACRCGCCGCACTCCCTGCTCCCCAAGTGGTGGCTCCTCTTTTTGCCTTTCCTCCTCCTCTTGGCGCTCTGGCGCGAGGATGCCGCCCCTCGGCTCTGCTCCTGGTGGTAATGGTGGTAGGGTCCCCCTCCTCCAGCAGCCCCACCTTCCACCGCGGCCGTGGCTGCGGCGACAGCGGCGGCAGCGGCGGCTCTGGACTGCGCCAGCCTCTCGCGCTCGCGGGCACGGGCCTGAGCCGCGTATCCGTAGGGCATGTGGGTGTTGCACCCGGAGCTGTCCGCGCTCACCATCGCCACCTCCATCTTGCTTTGTTTTTCCTTTGTTTGTTTTCGGGTTTTGTTTTATTTACAGGGTYGCCTCAGCTTTCGGCGGAAAGTTCAAAGCCATTTGAAAGTGGAGGACGGTGCGCTGGGCATCGAGCGTGGCAAGGCGGTCACGACGCCGAATCTACGCTTTGGGAAACCACAGATCCGCATTTTGGCGCTCTCCGGAATGTTCCACACAAACTACTGTTTTGCTGATAAGAAAAGATGAAATTCTCAGACTGAACCGGGGAACAGCTGAGACTTTGTTCTTCCATACACCAAGCCCCTTTATTTTCCTTTATCTCCTGCAGCCATCACTGCTGTATCTGATCAGAATCATGACTGCCACGCAGGCTATAAAGGCTGCATTCCTCAGGAAAAAAAAAAAAAAAAATCAAAACCAAAGGGTACCTGTTCTCCACGGATGGTTTTAGCTCATCATTGAAACCAAATGCAAATAGTCTCTTTCCTCATTATTTGTTCGTGGTAATGCTTTGGCCTAGCAAACTTACTGCTTAATATCGTTACTTGGGGAGTTGAAGTTAATTCCAGCCATCACTTCAWTTACACAGTGAGGAGGTCTTTGCAAATCCTTTCTTCAGCCTGTCAACAATGTCTCAAACCTGGGAGCAGCACCCAGGGCATCAGCAGCAGTGGTAAGAGGAGGAGGAGGAGGTGGAGGAGGAGGAGGAGGAGATGAAGACTGAGAATCTGGCTCTGAGGTCCCCATAGGACATAAGGGAGTGGATGGGTCACCCTTTGGTTATGGTCATGCAGAAGAAGCACTTAACCTGAGGCACATGCACGAACACACAAAAATAAACAAAACAAAAAGGGAAAAGATTGGATTGTTTTCCTAAAAGGTCACACCGATCAAATGAAACCGTGTCATCTATTACCACGGCATTCAAATCTTCTCCTGCCCACACTATTCACACTTCTACATTACACACACACCCACATCACATGCACAGAGATTTTGAACGACTCCGTGGGTAAGGGTGTGGGTGGGCATGTCACATATATATAGAGACAGATACAAAATCCCCACCCCTGTAAGCACTTGCATCCATACACAAACATATTCATGCTCCTGGAACACCAACACGCATAAACACCAATAAAAATACTGCAACACACGACTCGTTCAGGTCTTCGAGCACATACGCAAGAGATACACCTACATATATCCACACCGAACACGAAAGAATAAAATGTGTCCACACAAAGAGCTTTTGTTGCATCGGTAGAAACACACCAGATGTGGGAATGTAACGTTTTCAATCTACAGCAGAATCGTGTTTCGATCACAAAGAACATCTCACCGGATTTAATTTGGAAACAGGCACGTACGATGCTCAGCCAAGTGAAAATGCCGTGATATGCCAAGAAAACAACTGCAGGTGCACTGAAGCAACATCTACATGCAAGCACACACACAAAAACACACAGCCCCCCACACCCCCCTCCGAAACGAGCCTCATTTATCGCCACATCTATTCATACACGAGAGAAGGTGAACACCAACTATTAAACGACGCTATTTATAAAATCGTTATTACCTTACGTGTCATGCAGGAAAAAAAAAAGATGCCCAGAACGCCGCTATACTTACTGATGCTAGGCAGGGAAATAGCAGCGCCGTTCCCGCTGGTGTAAGGAGCGGGTGACAGCAGTCCTGAGGGGGCCGTGCCAATGATCCACAGTCGCAGGTGGTCAGTGCGCACCACAGGTTGGCGAGTGATTTGTGCCCCTTCTCGCCGGGAGCGAGCCGGGGATGCGGCTGGGGGCACCGGGCACCKCCGCAGCCGCTGCCGCTCGCCTCGGCATTGGCGACAAGGCAACAACGAGCGAGGGTCGCGTTCCCGGAGGGAATGGAGCGCGGTGTGTGCGTGTGCTTGTGCTGTGCGAGGCGGGCAGGCGCGATCCCGCTCCCTCCGGCTCCGCGTTCCGCGCTGGCTGGGTAATCCGTGCGCGGAGCCGGCTCCCGGGATGGGGCTCGGTCAGT